GCCGCAGCGCAAAGCCTTTAGATGCTTTCAATTTGTACTTTATGAAATTGAGTGAGCGTGTCTCGATGATGCGACAAGATGCGGCAAAATGGATTACTGCTTATGGCGAAGACGAACTAGTGCCTTTCCTACAAGAACGACGAAATCAACTTACTGCAGCTTCAACCACTGTCAGGTAACCCCTTGCCTTGAAGGATCTTACATGGCCCGCTCCATGGGACCAACGAAACGTCAGTGATTTATACATCCGTGGCGCCATGTCGATTAGCCCGCGCGTCACTGCACATGTGGGGGTTGGGAGGACTATGAACTTCCATGTGTACATGCAGTGGCTGGTGCAATTAGCGAGGGAATGCGTATCAACACATTGTACGACGCAGACCGACTATCCATAGAGCACTTCGCCGCCACGTATACAAAGCGATTTGTGCCCCTTCCTGTCGATGGAAAACTTCGAATTGATGTCAACCTACGGCTACCCGCACAACATTCACCTCCAGAGAAAAAGGGAAAGCGAGGTCGGAAGCCTGGACCGAAACCAGGCCACAAACGGAAGAAAACAAAAGGTAGCAACTAATGTGAAGTTCTACTATGTTTTTCTATAATAAAAATATAATAACAATCGAACTGAATGATAAGTACTCTAATTAAGATGAAAACTGTATCCAAACGAATGATAAATGTACTAACGTTGATGAAATTTAATCTGTTTTTTATGATAAACAATCCAAACCTGATCGAGCGATCTACGAATTGTAATACTACAACTTTCTTAATTTTACCTAAACGTTAATGTAGTGAATAAAATTCGTGACCCTGTACTTATCTTTGAATGATATAAATTCTTGTTTCAATACACTACTGGTAATGTAACATGTTTCGTTTTTTAAAGTTTTGAAAAATGATAGCAATAATCGAATTGAAAAATATACGATTTCCGAGATTTTCTTATAGCTTAAAACGCTGCCTACATCGGTAGTCATGACTCTGGCCCCACTCATAGACGCTTAAAGCCTGTTGTTATACTGCGCGAGCAATCGCGCGTGAGGGAACATCGAGCGCCAATCATCAAGCGGGATGCTGCGTTTCTTACGGTAATAGTACGTTTTTGCTGCAAGTCGTCACGACTTCTTGCGCTCAGCGACACGCGCAGCAACAGAAGCAAGATCACACTTGAGCTTCTTGTTCAGGTGTTTCCTTAGGCCTTGGGCAGTCTTCGCCTTCCGTAGGCAGTGTGGACACGAACGCCGCGTGTACTTTTTCGGCCGCCCCACCTTCTTGGGCGAGGTAGGCTTCTTGGTCGACTTGCCCTTACTACGACGAAGCTGCATCTCGGACAGGAACAAGTAAAAGTGAGGACCGGTGTTTCAGGGAAAATAATCTTCAACTTTCTAAGAAAACGTTTTCTTAGAAAAGCATTTCTAAGAAAAATATTGGATCGCTCTTTGGTGATTCTGTTACGTGCAAATATAACCTGAAAAGTGAGTGGTTCTTCAAAAATAGTCTCCATGAACAATCTGAGTAGATTTCCACTCGGATAAGATAATTCCTCCATTTGCAGATCAGGTTTGTGAGCAGAACAATGGCGACTTAAAGCAAAAAAGGGGGTAAAAAGAGAGTGAATGTCTTCCTTCGAAAGCACGCGTTTTTCGCTAAGTTCACGAAGGAACTCAATTCGAGCCAAATCTTGGAGTCATATCAAAGAGTTATATATTATATGAACGCTTCCAGAGCTTTACCCTGACTATCCTGAGGCATCCCTAGTCGCCCCTCCAGCAGCAGCAGAATCATGAATCGCGAGCAGACTGTGGCAGAGGTGCCTGTAACGAAAGAACTGCATTGCTGGCCTAGTGTTACCTTCGACACCGTTTGGCCGTTCGTCGCCAAGACGTGCCTCCAAAAACAGAAGAATATAAACGCCGCAGTTGTA